TGCCCCCCCCATCTCTCTGGTCTTTCACAGGTGACCGAGCAGCAGCGGCAGGGCCAGCGCTACGACAGCATCAGGTACCCTGCGCACCAGGGCCAGCCCCGGGGGTTAAAGCAGCCAGCCCTGGGGCTGGGGAAGGGCCTGCAGAGCCTTGGGTGCCAGCTCTGCCTGGCCTGTCCCTGCCCAGCAGGGGACTGTCTCTGCCACCCGCCCTGACCGGGTGGCAGAGGCATCACCGCAGCTTCTCGTCCCCCAGGGAATATGAGCGTGACGCTGTGAAGAAGAGGTTCACACGGGCCAGGGATGACTCAGACCAGGACGAAGGCTACGAGTGGGGCCCAGCCACAGATGTGTAGTGGCACCGCTGGCCTCTCTCCCACTGGGCAGCCTGGCCCCTTGGGTCAGCCCTGCCGCAGCCCCACGCCACCGGGTCCACGTGACGGTCCAGGTAGTGCCGCGCAGCACCCTGCAGCCAGGCTGGGTTGGGCCTAATCTTGCATACCCCTCACCCCCCAGCACCACCAAGTGCCTCCTTCCCCCTTTTGGCCATAGACTCTGCTGCTGGAATAAAAGGGATGTTTTGATCAGGATGGGCTGTTTCTGTGCGTGCTGGGTGGCAGTGCGCAGGGGAAACCCATGCAGCAGGGTGGCCTTGCTGGGACCCAGGCACCTCTGCAGCCAGACACCCTGCCTGCCCCGAGAGGCAGCAGTGCAGGAATCAGGCTTGGGTTGTGCCAACGTCTGGCACCACAGGAGGATCAGGGTGCGTGCCCCAGAGCGCGCCTCCTCTGCCGCAGCCCAGCAGGGCTCCTGAAATGCAGCCTCCCACATTCCCCAAAACTTTTGTTTTTACATCAGCCAAACACACAGGCAAAATCCAGTCAGCGCTGCATCGGCCGTAGGGGCCCAGAGACCCACTCATGAAAAGACAAATCACCAGGGGCTGGTCCTTGGGGCTCGTGACCCCAAGCTCCCCGGTATGTGGGACTGGGCAGTGCCGTGTTCCCTTTCGCTGCGCCGAGGGACAGCCCCAAGGGCTGTGACCCAGTACCCTGGTGGGCTGGGGCCGGGCTGTGTGTGCAGAGTGGTTAAAGGCAGCACCAGGGAAAAGCAGAGGTAGTTTCCCAGCTCGGTGCAACAGGTCTAACAGGGAGTTCATTTGCACCCCCAACAGGCCCCTGGCAAAGCCAGGGAGGAGGAGCGGGTGCCAAGGGTGCTGCTGCCCTTAAGGCTGAGTCTGGGAGCTGCTGGCTCTCCCTCAGGGGTGCCAGCATGTACCCACACGCTGGAGTGCAGGGTCAGCACTGCTCTGGGGCTGTGCTAGCGGCAAGCCTCAGAGCTGTGCTTCCAGCACCATCCCCACATGGGGAAAGGCACCATTGGTGAGTGTAAAAGCACTATCTGTGGTGATTGGATGGGGTGACCTTTCACGCGGGGTCCCCTCTCCTCCTGCCAGCACCAGGCCAAGGTGAGGGACCCTGTGAAGCAGCAGGACAGGCACTGTGCAGGCACTGTGAGGCAGGGAGGGGTGAATGGAGAGGGAGGAGGTGCCCAAACCATGGCACCATAGTCCCTGAGGCTGCTCAAGCTGGGTATCAGGCCCCTAGAGTCTCCCACTGTGTCCTGAGTAAAACCGGATTAGGCCCTGCTGGGGACCAGAGGGCTCCCATGAGGGCGCTGGGGCAGGAGGCAGAGCCTATCCTGCCCTCGCTGCCCCGGGCTCACTCCTGCCTGGGCCCAGGCGTGTGCAGCGACAGCCGGGCACGGCCAGCGGCTCAGAGGAAGACGGGCTGCTCCTGCCCGGTCAGTAAGCGGTACGTGGAGGCCGGCATGGTCTTGATGTGGACCTAGGCAGAGACGCACAGATCAGCTGGGAGATGCCAAACCCCGGGCTGGAGGGTGCTGGTGCAAAACTTGGAGCCCAGCCTGCTCCATGTGCAGCCACAGCTGCCCCGGGGAGCCCCGGCCATCACCCAGCCCGGGCCCGGCTCACCTCGCTGACTGCCTGTGTGAGAATCTGGATGATCTTCTCGTGGGGCGTTGCCACCACGCTCTGCCCGTTGATCTCGATGATGCGGTGCCCCACGCGGATGCCACCTCTCTCTGCGATGCCCCCACGCATCAGGCTGCAGATCTGGGGAGCAGGGAGTGCTGGTAAGATCAGAGCTGTGCCCACAGCCCAGGGCCATACGCAACCACCACCCCAAACCCTCTCATCTCTGCAGGCTCCCGGCAAGAGCTCTGGACCTGGGTGCTGTCTCTTCCAGCCCATGGGCGTGCAGCGAGGGCAGGGATGTCCCTTTGCGCTGCTGCCACGGGAGTGAGGTGCTGAGCTGAAGGGCAAGGGCAGCCCGCAGGCTTTTGTTCCCCCGGCTGGCGGAGAGCTCATCTCCCCCCATCCAGGCATCAAACCCTCGTGCTCCCATCAAGCCTGGGCTGCAGAGCCAGAGCTTCTCCCTGGGGCGGCAGCTCCCCCGCACCTGTGGCGTAACTGCATCTCCAGTACTATTGGGAGCATCGGTCGGTGCATGATGCAGCCGTGCCACCCCCTCCACCACTCACCCACCCACCCCATCAACTCCCCCTGATCCTGGAAATGCTCCTCTCTGCCTTTCCAACGCAACCACTGTGGAGCCCAGAGCAGGAAGGGGCCGGGGCACTGGGGACAGCAACAACTGCCACTAAGGTCACGCCAAGAAAGCCAGGAAGAGACCACCACCCCAAAAGCAAACAGCTAAGGAGCACCAGGGAAACGGATCCAGCCGCCGGTGCTGCGGGAGAGCTACAAAGAGCCTTTTGCTGTGGCACAAGTGCTGAGTGAAACCTCAGCCCTGGCAGGCACAAGGAGCGCTGGAGCTGTGCGCTTGTCCATGCGGACACAGCCAGAACCGTGTGTCCCCCTGCCAGACGGGTGGCTGAAGCCCTCGGCTGACCCCGGCCTGGCTCCACTCCTGTCCCCGCGGGCACTCACCACGCCGTTCTCAACACAGAAGCCCAGCTGGTACTTGGAGTCAGGGCGCCGGATGACAGCCGTGGTGACAGGGGGACAGTGCACGATGTTCAGCGTCACCTCTGTCTGGTGCTTCAGCTCCTGGAAGATGGGATGGGGCTTTGTCAGAATTTGGAGAGCTATTCAGCGTGGTTGAGAGGGGCGACGCAGCCATGTTGCTCATGGGAGGGCTGAGGATTAGCAGCCTGTTTTCAATGGGGAAACAGGCACACACAGGGATACTGCCACGCTCAAATTCGGGGAGAACTTCTAAATCCAGTCCAAGACGTCCCACTGTGCCCCTGAGGCCACACTGTCCTTGCTTTCAGCTCCTTCCTGCCCAGGAGGTAGAAGATGCAACAGGTTCCCTCCAGGACAGGTGCCTGCCTCTTCACCCACCCCCCTCCTTGGGCAGGGCCCTGCCCGCACCCTGCCGCAGCAGGTTTAGTCCCTAGCTTTGTCCCTGCCTTGTCGCATCCCTTCCTCCCCAGCACTCAGGGCAGGGACTGTCGCAGCCCACAGGATGGGTATGGCCCCCCACACTCCTGCCCGCTCTGCCCCCACAGCCTCCCATCACCCATCCGCCCCCAAGCCCGGAGCATCGGGGGGGACCCCGGCATTACAGACACTCCCAGATGCATTCAGGCTGGTCCTCGTCTCTGCCAGCACTCGCCCTCCTGCCAGGGTGGAGGCAGGAGGCGACCCCGAGCGCAGCCCCGGCTCACCCGGATGATGCTCTGGCAGGTGGTGAGGGGCAGCCCCACCAGGCTCGTCCCGTTGACGGACATGAGGCGGTCCCCGATGCTCAGCTCGCCCGACCTCTCCGCGGGGCCCCCGTGCATCAGGTTGGCGATGACCACTGTGGGCAGGATGGAGCCCCAGCCCGACTCCACGATGGCGATGCCCAGGATCTCCCCCTTCTGCTTCCGGATGCAGACCTGGTGGGGGGCACAGAGGGGTTATGGTCACCGGAGCCATGGGGCATGCGTCCCAGCCCCAGCACGGGTGTCCTGGGCTCACAGCCAGCTGGGATGGGGCCCAGTTTTGTAGGGAGCACCTCAGCTGCCCAGGGAGCCATGGAGGGGATGACACAGAGGTGCCAGCGGGTACCCCACACTGTCCCCACCCCTCCAAAGCAGCTCTTACGTCCTTGCAGTTCTCCTGCCGGGAGAAGTGGGTCAGCTCCGCATTGTATTGCTCCTGGTCCTCAAGGGCACGGCTGTACTGGCGAGGGCTCAGCTCGCTCGGGTCGATGCTGTTGGCCTCCAGGAAGCGCTGGTAGGCCACGCCGAACGCCTGCCCGATAGCCTGAGCAATGATCTGGGCCTGGGGAAAGACGGGGGTTTTTTGTGTCCACGGCTCAGGGCCAATGGTCTCATTGGCCAAACTGGAGCCAACAGCTGCCAGCGCCCTGCAATGCCCAGCACAGGCACTGCGCCCTGGGAGCTCCAGGGCAACCTGGCTCCTTCTCTGCCTGAATGGGCCCCTTTACGATGCCAATCCTCCCCCCTTTTCTTGCTGGGCCCCTCTATGTCACAGAGGTGCTCAGGCTGGGCTCCTTCCTCCTCTATGCGCCCGTTGGGAACCCCCAGCACAGAGACCCAGAGCACCCGCTCATTACAGCGGGACGGGGCCCAGGACCGCAACACCACCCTGCCCTCCTGAGGGACTCGTGTGTTGCCTCACGTCGGCCGAGTGGAAGACGTGGCAGATCATCTTGTAGAGCCGCTTCTCCTCCGCCACCTCCGACGGCCGAGGCAGTTTCCGGCGCGCCATGAGCACCACGAGGGAGCCGATGTCCGCGATGTAGGAGATGGTCTGGAGGGAGTGATCCATCATGGCCTCCTGGCAAGGGGGACACAGGCAGAGACGTTCATCCCTCCCCGGCCCGATGGACCCCGCGGGCAGCCCGCGAGCCAGCCAGGCACCGCCACAAGCAGGAAGGGTTTGGGTTCAAACGCCACTGTGCTGGGATGCAGCTCAAATGCCTGGCGCACGCGGGGCAGAAACCATGTCTACGCTAAAAGGTACAAACAGCTCCTTCGATGAAGGACTCATCCGTGTCTCTGGGTGCTGCCGGGGGGCAAGACAGCTCTTCCCTCTTACTATAAAGCAGAAACTAATCCTGAGGCAAAGAGCTACAGAAATTTCAAGCCTAGGTTCCCTGGAGCTTGGTCTGAGAACCCAGCAGCTCCCGCAAGGCACAGTTTGCATTAGAAGCCTCGTGCAGCCATGCAGAGAGCTGAGGAACGTCTGCATGGGATGGGTGCGGAGTGACGTGTCTCCTCCCAGATGCATGTCCTCACCCATAGGCCATCCTTGGACACGATCCCACCGGCGTGGGTGCAAAGCAGAGATCCCAAGGCCAAACAGGAAGGTTTCAGCAGCCCCAAAGCCATGTGGGTGCTCCCGTTCCCCACTCACCTGCGTGTCAGCCGTGAGCACCTTGATCCTCTGTGTAGAGACAAACAGATCCACCTCTGTCATGGGCTGGGACTCCCCCTCCGGTGCCTGCAGAACAAAGCGCCCAGGAGAGGTCACTGCTGCTGCCAGGACTCCTCTGGGTCCCTGCCCCACAGCCAGGAGGTCCCCCCGGGCAGGTCCTGAGTGCAGCCCCAAGCCCACGAGGGGCCAGGCTGGTGGCAGTCATGCCCCCCTACCCTCCTGCACCTTGATCCTGTCCACTGCCTCCTGGGCCTGTGCCATGCGGACGCTGGTCGGGGGGTTCCTCTCTGAGACCAGCTGCGTGGAGCCCAGGTACTTTGCCCCAAAAATCACACCGTCCAGCAGATCCTCCGGGTCGCAAGGGCCTGGAACTGAGACATTGGGAGGGACTAAGCAGGGGCTGGTCCCCCCAACTCTGAAAACTGGGGGTACCAACTCCTACTGCCCGTTAGCTGCATTCCTACACGTGGCAAAGCAGCTCAGCGCTTGGGAGACAGGCTCCTGGCATCACCGAGGGACCAACTCTGACCCCAGGGCTGCTTCCCCTTCCCCTTGGACACACCCTGGCATCCCTTTCTCCCTTCCCAAGCCTGTGCATCCCCCCTCCCCAATCCCTGAAGCACGCCCATTTGCCCAGCGAAGGGCGAGCTGGGATCGAACAAGCCACCCAGAGTCTGCAGCCACGTTCCTACCCTGCACGGGTGCAGAGCTGGGTGCTCCCTCCCCAGCTGGCACCCCTGGCCGCCCCGCATTTGGGGTCAGAGCAGGAGGCAGTGGGTCAGGACTCGTGGGTGCTTTTGCTGCTCGAGCATAGAAGCAACTCACCCTCTTTGAAGGCTGGGCAGGAGGATGGAGGTTCCCTGTTCTGCAAAGCAACGAGAGAGCAGGTGAGGCTCTGGTTGGGATCCCAGGGTGCAGCCTGCCCGCCCCACGGCCAGGCTGCCCCTGGAGCACCAGGACAG